CAGAGGCCAGCACGAGGAATCGAGGGTCACGTGACCTGTAGCAATGCGGTGGCATTGTTCATGTGTGTCCATAGGAGTGTGTTAGAGGCAGCGGTACCCCACCTCAGCTGGAGTCCTGAGCAGCTTGACCAGATCAGGATGCAGGCCAAGAGAACTCACCAGAACGCCCAGTTATCAGAACAAGGCCAAAGCATCCCAGTGAGCAGATAACTCTTGCCCATGGTTCGTGAGTAAGTGAAGTTCATCCTTTCCCTCAGGACTGGACCAGCCCGCCTGGGATCCTGCAGCTTGATCCTTCAAGCGAGTTGCCCCAGGGCGGTGGCCTCTTCTAGGTTCTGCAGGAGCCAGCCGTTCTGGCCTTCCGGACTTCCTGCTGCTTTTATGCTGCTGTGGCCACAGGGTGGGGTTGATACGGCACCGGCACCGAGTAAAGGCTCCAGGGCTGCCCATGTGAAGACAAAGCAAAAGGAAGCCAAGGTTAAACACTGGGTCCACCTGCTTCATTCCCTAGATAGGGAAACCGAGGCCTGGGGAGAGGAAGGGACTCGAGTGAGCTAATGGCCGAGCTGGGGGTAAGACTCCCGGCAGTCTCTTCTCCCCTACTCCCCGGCCCTATTTCATAATAGGCCCCTGCTGCTGGCTGCGTCTCTGCGCTTCGTCAATCACTAGTATCTTTCTTGAAACAACAGTTCTTTAACATCGTCACGTATTCAGCCAGTGTTCAAATCTCCAATGGTGTCCGGTCAAAAAACACTTCGAACAGTTTGATCCAATCAAGATTGGGATCAGATGCGCTCAGATGTGACTGGTTGATGTCTCTTGAATCTCTTTTAATCCACAGGTTCCTCCTCCAGCTTTCTCTTTTTGCTTGCGATTTATCACCGGAGAAGGCGTGTCGTGTATCCTGCAGATTGTCCTCAGTCTGGGTTTTTGTGATTGCAAACCCATGACGTGGCTTCACGCATTGCTCTGTTTTCTGTATTTCCTGTAGTTGAATCTAGGGGTTTGATCAGATCAAGATTTGGGTGCTTTGTTTTGTTTTGTTTTTGCAAGACTACCATAGGAGGACAGACCTGCACAGAGTCTTAAACATCATCCAGTTCAGCCATGTCGTGTTCAGATAAGCTGAGGACCAGACAGGTGTAGTGACTCATACGGGCTTGCACACACGGCCAAGGCCATGGACATATTCTTAAAGGAAACCACTGAAAATGCTTGTGATCAGTTCCAGTGCCTTGGATGGCTGTGTCTGATATTCTCACTCTACAGCCTGTGCTTGTACCCACCATGCTAGGCCTGCCTCTCGATCTCATCTCACTTACCGTTGTGATCCCAGGGCCTATGATAGACACTCATCTGCTGAATGAATAAATGAATGACCTTACCATTGTTTTTATGTCCAGAAACTGGCTGCTCCTGGACTGTCCACGGGGGAAGGTATTATAGGCACTGGCCCTGCTGTAGTTTTCCAGAAAGCGGCCAGCCTGTTAGGCACAGGAAGGATCCAAGGGTCAAAGAATGAGAGGGAAGCAGGGCTTACTCCAGAAAAGCAACTGGAATGATGGGCTGTAGTCCACCCAGGCAAGAGGCAAGCCCAGCAACACAAAATCCTGCAGGCAGCACGGATGGGGTGCAGTTGGCAGGGTCCAGCTGCTGAGATGTGGTGGAGGCAGCACTCCAGTCCACGGGGGGAGCAAGCCAGGACCCTGCTCCTCACGCTGGGCAGGAACTCAGGCCAAAGATCAAGTCAGAAGCCCTGAGTATTACTTAGGATTAAGTTGAGTTGACAGGAATGGAAAAACCCCAAGTGTCATCGGCTCGAATAGGGTAGAAGCTCATTTCTCCCTCGTGTTAAATGCCCTGAGGGAGTCAGCCCACAGCCAACAGGGTGCTCCAGGGGACAAAGATGACAGCGAGGACCCAGCCTCCCCTGTCTTGTCGCTCTCTTATCCTCGAGCATGATTTGTTCCACGGCACAATATGGCTGCTGGAACGCAGCCCTTCTAGGCCATATCCCAAGTAACAGGAAAGAACAGAGGGAAAAGAGCACTCTCCTCCTTAGGGCAATTTCCAGAATTGTGCAGACTACTTCACGTACATTCTCTTGGCCAGAACTGAGTCGCGTGACGACACCTCACTGCAGATGATGATGAGAAATAGAGCCTTCATCTCCGACATCCATGGGCCCACCGACGGGTCTGTATGTGAAGACCAGAGAGCATGTGTCCAGGAACTCATTAGGATACAAGGCAGACGTGAGCAGAGGGCTCCCAGCTTAGGCACAGGTGCTTATGTCCCTGCTGTAGCTGCTTATGTCTCTGCTGCCCTAAGTCCTGGGACTTGGGCAGCGTGGGGTCCTCTCAGTCCAACTGTGGGAGGGAGACGCTGTGGAGCCAGCCATGGGGCCTGACCGTTGAGTACCTGTCACTGCACAACAGCGGGCAATTTGTAGCTAAGCCTGGCACCGGCCCAGGGAGAAGCAGCAGCGGTAAGAAAGCAGGTGTGTTCATTGTCAAGGACAGGCACACACTCAAAGGCCAACAACTGCTCAATGCTGTGAAAAGCATCTTCAAGACGTTGAGTCTGGGGCCACAGACTGCCTTTTCTTAGGAGGCAGTGAAGACGCTGAGGACAACGGCTTTTTTTTTTAATTTCCTTAAAAAAAAATTTTTTTTTTTTTTTGCTATAGAATAACCTACACAGAGAAAAGTATACAAATCCTAAGCATATACCTCCACAATTTTCACAGAAGTGGACACACCAAAGTATCCAACACACAGATCAAAAAGTATGAGGCTTAGGTTAAGGTTAAGGTTAGGGTCAGGGTTAAGGTTAAGGTTAAGGTTAAGGTTAAGGTTAGGGTCAGGGTTAGGGTTGGGGTTGGGGTTAGGGTTAGAGTGTAGTATGGTTACAATCTAGTGCTGAACATCTTGTCTCTTATGAAGATTATAAAATCAGGCAGAGGGGGTGCCTGGGCGGCTCAGTAGGTTAAGCGGCCGACTTCGGCTCAGGTGAGGATCTCACGGTTCGTGGGTTCAAGCCTGCGTTGGTCAGTGCTGACAGCTCAGAGCCTGGAGCCTGCTTCAGATTCTGTGTCTCCCTCTCTCTCTGCCCCTCCCCTGCTTGTGCGCTCTCTCTCTCTCTCTCTCTCTCTCTCAATAATAAATAAACATTAAAAAAAATGTAGAACGTTACTACAACCCCAGAAAAGGCCCCGAGCGTCCCCTTCCTGTTACTACCCCCCACCCTGCTCCCAGCATTTAGAAAATCTTTCCAGGAGATTCTATAGTCAATGCTGAGAATCGCTGCTTTTATAACAATGGTTATCAAACTTGGCTGCGCATTAGAATCAAGTGGGCCAGCGTCTGCGTTTTGAGGTGGAAGGACAGGGACAGCTAAGAAGGCAGTGTGGTGCAGGGGAGAAGCCTGGGAGCCAGACAGGCCTGCCACGTCCCAGCTGTGTGACCTTGAACGAGTTCCTTTACCTCTCTGAGCCTCACCTGTGACATGCGAATACTATCACACAGCCTGCAGAGTTGAGGCTGGGGGGGGGGGCAGGGCGGGTGGGATGTAAGTTCAGGCACATGTAGGGTCAGTATATGGCATCCGCTACTGTCCTTTTTATTAAAGGGGTACAGCCCCAGGAAAACTGAGAGCCCTTCTTTATGCTGATGGCACTTTCCAAACTGTGCTGAAAGGTACATCGTGCAAAAAATATTAGTTTGTGTTAGTTAAATAT